AGCTAACGGTATTTTAGGTCAAAGTATTTTAGCTGACAGTATTTTAGCTGACAGTATTTTAGATGACAGTACTTTAGCTGAGAGTATTTTAGCTGAGAGTATTTTAGGTCAAAGTATTTTAGCTGAGAGTATTTCAGCTGCAAGCAATGTGCAGGAAGTGTAAAAAGACTTCAGTGATCTTTGATCTGTGTCCGACGTGGACTGACCTTCTCCAAGCTCATGTTGTCCAGGTGCAGTTTCTCCAGGTAGCGCCCAAAGCTCTGGAAGGCGTTATCTGGGATGGTCTTCATGGGGTTCCCCCCCAGCGTGAGCTCCTCCAACACGCGCAGTTTGCTCATGGCCGCGCTGGGGTAGGTGGACAGCTTGTTTCCGTTCAGGTGGAGCAAAGCCAGGTTCTCCACCTGGTCCAGGGAGCCCGGCTGCAGGGTTTGCAGCTTGTTCTCGCTCATGTACAGCCACCGCAGGACTTTAGCTCCAGTGAAGGTCCCCGGCCGCAGCTCCTGCAGATTGTTGTTATTGAGCTGAAGGACAAAAAGGTTCATCATCGGGGAGAAGATCCCTTTAGCCAGCTCGCTGATCTGGTTTCCATCCAGGTAGAGGTACGTGAGCTGGGCGAGGTCCTCGAAGGCGCCATGCTGGATGATGCTGATCTTGTTGTTGGACAGGTAGAGGTAGGTGAGCTTCTTCAGCCCCTTGAAAGCCTTGGACTCGATCTCCTTGATGTGGCTGTGCTGCATGTGCAGAGAGTTGAGCTCCTTGTTTTTACTGAAGGCCCCCGTGGGGATGCTGCTCAGGTCGTTCCACTGCAGGCTCACCAGCTGCGTCGTCTCGGGCACCTGGGGGATCTTCTTCAGCCCCTTGCTGTCGCAGATGACGTGCTGCAGGTCGCTGTGGCACTGGCACTGGTTTGGACACTGGCTCTGGACTCGCTGCGCTGCGAGGCCCAGGAGGAAGGTCCCCAACAAAACCCAGGTCGCACAACGCATCCCGACGGACTCGTGAAGAGACGAGGCTCAAGGGAAGCAAACAAACGAGGAGTGAAGAGGTCCAGGTTGAGGGGAGGCTGGCCGGACTGAGCACACAGCTCTATTTATAACGTTCGCTTCAGGAGGAGGGCTGAAGGGAGAGGTCTGCTCCAGGAAGTCAAGCGGCCGACAGTTTAACCCCGTAAGAGCTGCAGGACCACGTCTCTGCTGCTGGGTCGCTGTGACATCACAAACGACCGGAGCCAGGCTCCAGGTGAACGTCTGTCAACGTGGCACGGGGTGCACGCTCCCAGACACCGCCGCCGTTCTGCTGCCGCAGCCGCTCCGGTGCAGCCGCTGTATAACCCGTAATGGTCTCCAGATGCTGTCGCGAGGCAACAGAGGGAGGCGTCCGTCGTGTCCGGAGCCGCGGGCCGAGACGCCACTTTACATTCTTGTGTGCGTTGTTGTTTCTGAGCAGCAGGAGTGACGTTGCGTAATGATGATTCCCAGATAAACCTCAGCTCAGAGGCGGGAGCAGCTCGTGTCACTTGAAGTCTGGCTCGGATCAGACGGTCTGGCTCCGGGTCCGTTTAGGCTCATGGAAGCTGGAGCCCAGTTTACCGAACAACTTTAACCTTTTACTGGGAATCTCGTCTCTGCAGGTGAAAGTTGCAGCTTTAACTCTTTTTATTTTAACTCCTTCTGCTTGTGGTCGATTTTAGGTCATCGGTCACTTGAGAAGAGTAAAAATCCTCTAATGTTGCACCTGAAACCTTAAACAGGAAGTTGGTTTTGTAAATATTTGTGTTTCAACGCTCTTCAACGTGTCGTATTCAACATGTGAACATTCACCGACTTGTAGACATTTTTGTGAAGTAACTGTGGCGGCCATCTTGAATTGGATTAACTCTGAACAGGGTGTAGATGTACACACAACGATTACTTCCTGAAAGTTTCACTGAAATCTCTCCAGTGGTTCATGAAATATGTTCCTAACAGACAGGCCAAGTATTTACATTATCGCCCGCTGCCTTTGAAAGGCATCAATAAATACAGTCCAGTTCAAAACTTTAGTGTTTTACTATTTATAACGTTCAAATCTTTGAATCCAAATAATTATTTTTGTTTGATGGAAACGGACTCTGAAAACCTTTAAACGTGTGTTCGTCTCCGTCGCCCTTCCTGTTGGTCATCCTGTTTTTATTTTTTGTGACTGACAGATCGGTTACGGCACCACGGAGAACAGCCCCGTGACGTTCCTCGCCTCCCCCATGGACAACGTGGAGAGGAAGACCGAGACGGTCGGCTTCGTCATGGAACACGTGGAGGTACGCCGTCGCTAAACGCACCAACGCGTTCAGAATCATCCGGTTTAAAACGGTTTCTGTTTGACGAGTGTCAGAAACTACAGATTATTTGCGCAGACGAGTAATGGTTCGATTTCCTCGGACACGTTGAAACGCTCAACTAAATCCTCACCCGTTAAATAAACAACAATAATAAATAATAAAGTGCTATGCGTCGTCATGGTATGTTCCCATACGGAGACGGTGATGATCTTTCCAAACGGTCGCAGAGTTGTCGTGCTCTTGTCTCAGTTCAGTTTCCACGAGTCAAAGTGGGAGAGATGCGAGACAACTTTGAGACTTTTTGGAGACAAAGAGGAGAATTTAAATTAAAACGGACAAACGAAGTCACGTAGTCACTAAACTGCGTCAGAAATCTTTGTAGTTGTTCACAGAAATATTGTGCATGTTGCAGTTTATTTACAGCTATGTAAAACTTTAAGAGTTCAATTTATTTATTTATTTTTTCAGTTTTGTGTCTCAAACTAGTCACAGTGAGACAGAAGCTACAAAGATTTACAGTTTGTTGTTTTTTCTTTGGCTTGTTTGCCACTGATAACTTAATTTACATAATCTATAAAATGTTGCAGCAGTCATTGGAAATTGTTGCGTAGGCTGCATAACTTTAACGTTTAAGTAATTTTGAGTGGATTAAAATGAAAAACTTTGAGGAAAGTGACGTTTCTATGAGCAGAAACTTGTGCTGTCGCTCAGACTGAATCTGTATTAGCGTAATTTGAAATTAAATCCATCGGTTTGAAAGTGAATTTAATGAATTTTGTTATGCTGACGGTTCAGTTTGACTACTTTTGTTTTCAGATTATAATTCGGTTTCAATTCCAAGATTCAGTTTTCTGTCGCATCGGGTCCTTGAGAAAGCCGTTCTCGACCTTGACCTCTCCGAGTGACTTTAAACGTCTGTTAAGTTCCTGTTAAGAACAACGCAGACACGTTCCCGTTTTTAGATTTCTACACCGCCTTATAATCTAGATTTTTTTTGTTGTTACTATTCCTTGGAGGAAAAAAAAAGAGAAACTTAAATTTGACTCGAGTCTGAACCCTGTGCCAACGTAAATCTGTTAATCTGCGTTAGATTACTCCGTGGCTTTCTCAAGGATTCGGAGGTGACATAAAACAAGTGATTTTTATAATGAAATTGATGAATAGAACTAAAATGAAAGTAGTCGAACTGAATTTTCAACACAAACAAATACAGTTTCAAACCATTAATTTAGTGAAATTCACTTTCAAACCAATGGATTTAATTTCAAATTACGCAAACACAGATTAAGTCTGAGCGATTCAAATTCAGTTTGACGGCACAAGTTTCTGCTCGTTTAGAAAAACAAACAAAAACTATTCTGTACATTGTCCTATTTTTTTAAGTGAAATATTTAAAGGGTTCAAAACGTGTTTTCGGATCCACAGGCTAAAGTAGTGAATCCGGTCAGCGGGGAGGTGGTTCCTCTGGGGACGAAGGGGGAGATCATGATCCGAGGATACTGCGTGATGTTGGAGTACTGGGGTGACGAAGCCAAAACCAAGGAGACCATCACCAAAGAAGGCTGGTACCGGACTGGGTGAGTCCTAAAGCGCCGCCTGAAAATAGTCACTGAAATGTACCGAGGCAACGTCCTGAATCGTCCGTTTTCACCGTCCAGAGACATCGGCAGCATGGACGAGTACAGCTACTGCAAGATCGACGGCAGGAGCAAAGACATGATCATCCGAGGAGGAGAGAACATTTATCCGGCTGAGATCGAGCAGTTTCTGCACACGCACCCTAAAGTGAAGGAGGCGCAGGTGAGCGTCGAGCCCGGTTCACACCTGAATGGTCACTGGAATGGGCCGATTGTGGAAAAGCTACACGTTTGTTCTGTTGTAGTTTCTACGCCGGGCCACTAGCCGGCGCTGTGACCTGGGCCTCAAAGGCATCTCTGACCACCTGCACACGTCGGCTGTTAATTTATTATTTCCTTGTTCTGCTAAAAGTTGTTTACGAAAACACCTAACTCTTGAATTGTATGTGCTTATTACATTGTTCACCTAAGGGTTACCAGTGCAATGCATTCTGGGAGATGACACTCGGAGGCTAAAATACATCGAGTCAAGGATACAAAGTTATTTTTGACAGTAAAGTTATATTTTGTGTTGGTCCTTATAACGTTATGTTTGATACGTGGGTCGAAACCATCAAACGGGATCAGCTTGTGATTTTTAGTGGATTAGCTCTGGAGCTAACGTGAAAGCTAACAGGCTAAAGCTGAGGCACCGCCCACAAACTGCGCCCCAAATTAGGACAAGTAGCAAATAAAGGAAGGATGGGGAAAGTGACAAAAACATATTTAGGCCTTCATTGTTATATAATGTGTAACTGTCTTAAACGATCTGCGAACGTTTGGATCCGATGCTTGTGGTGATCAGCTTGAGGCAGAAAGCGGAGCTCTCTGCAGCAGAAGCTCTCTCATCGCCAGCAGCTCTTCAGCCCGACTCGCTCCTCTTCATCATTTTCAGGCCGAGTCGTTCCTCCGTTCTCCTCTCCGTCAACGCACTCCGGTTCAAATTAAAGAACTGAATGTCAGACATCGTACAAACTAACGATCGAGCTGGACGGAGCTCACACCGGAGCAACCTGCCTACATTTACCCAGAATGCACTGCAGCGTGAACATGACTGTGTTCGTGTGACATTAGTTTTAAGAAATATACAAAAAAATGAGCAGTCTGTTAAATGAAGGTCTGCTGTTCCAAGAAGTCCGAGATCCCTTTAAACACGGCGGTTTAGACGGCGCCACCTGTGGACGGGGGCGGTAACTACACCAGGTGTCGCTCGGACTCGACGGCGTTTTTATTCCTCAACAAACAAAGTTGCACGTTTGAAAGCAGGTAAAGCTCAGTTTTAATGGTAAAACGCAGCGAGCCGACGAGGCGGCGCCACATCAGAACCTGAATGGTGCAAATTTTTGTGGTTTATTGTAAAAATAAAAAGTAGAAATTCAGATCCAAGCAGTGAATTCCTGCCGAAACCCCAAAAATGTCTGCTGGGCAAAAAGCAGCAGCTGAAGTAACGTTTACCTGCAGACGCGCCGTCAATTGTTTCACCAACATTTTTGATCTTTTAGCTCGTTCAAACGTGAACAGGATCATTTAATCCTCAGTCTGAGTTTTAGTTAATTCACTTAAAAACACACAAACACCGGGGAGAAGTCCGACACGTGATGTTTATGAATCAGATTTATACGACTTACAGAAAATGTCTTAAATAAAATAATGCTTTTAAAAAAATAGATAGAAATATCCAGTTAATGCTTTAGAGCTCGGGACGTTTGTTTTAGTCACGTTTTTGTTTATTTCTGCTCCGAGACCAGAGGTTCTGGCTGTTCTGCAGAAACATCTGGGCTTGACGTACAGATGTTCAGTTCCCGTTGGTTTTAGCTGTGATTTCTGTCGCCGCTCCTCAGGTTGTTGGAGTGGAGGATCCCCGGATGGGTGAGGAGGTCTGCGCCTGCCTGAAGCTGCAGGACGGCCAGGAGTGCACGGCCGAGGAGCTCCGAGCTTTCTGCAGAGGCCAGGTGAGGACCGGCTCAGAACTTCTGGGACTGTCGGGTCCGACTGGACGGTCCAGCTAAACGCTGCTCTTCTTCTTTCAGATCGCTCACTTCAAGATTCCTCGTTACATCCTGTTTGTGACCAGCTACCCGCTGACCATTACTGGAAAGGTGATTTTAGTTTTCTTCTCCGAGCTGCTGATCGTTTTATAAATAAATTAAACGAGACATTATTCGCAGCGGAGCGCCAACATTTAACTCCTCTGGTTCCCGACGCGTCGACTTCTACACGTTTGTGCTGCCGTGTGTCGGCTCTTTGTGTCGACAGGCAGCTAAAGAGGTGGACCCAGCAAAGCAGCCGAAACCTGAGACCGCTTTGAAGGAACCCAACTCTCTAAACAAAGACAAAAAAAAAAAAAAATGCAACTAAATTAAGTAATTAAGACATTTTTTTTAACTAAACTGCATCGAAACTTGCCCATCTTGTGGAGAAGTGTTGTGATTTTAACGTTTTTAGTTTATCGCGAGGGATCTGTACTCTGAAGCCTCGCGATAAGTGAAAAACCACGAAGTAGGAATAGTACTACAAGTAGTAGTTTATTTTAGTGCATATATATGTATGTGTGTATATATGTATGCGTGTGTGTGTTTTAAATACTTGCCACACTCTTGCAATATTCTAAAAATGTTTCTAAACTCTAAAGCTCTCAAAGAGACAGCATGTCATGATTTCAGCTCCTTGCCTCCAGCAAGGCTCTTGGCCACGCCCACTTATCCGCTCTGCACAGAGATCAGCTGATTAGCTGCAGTTTATCCTGCAGTGTGGGTTGCACAAAGGAGCGGCAGGTGCTAAATAATTAAAAACAACTCATTTTAAATAAAAATCGATCGTGCGGCTCATCCCATCAGTCAGCCAGTTGTGCGTCATGTCCAGTCTTATTTTGAAAAACCGGGATAGAGCGAGTCCACGATAAACGAACCGTGAAGTAGCGATGGACTACTGTGTTCACAAACTTGTCTGAAGTAGCAATTCAGTGAGAAACAAATCTATTTAGTCTCCAGCTTGGCCCCGACTGACACCAACGACCGAGTCACCCAGAATGGCTGCCACGGCTAACGTACTGCAACAATGACGCAGGTCTGAGCTTGTTAAAGACGCGGAGCTGAAATTTCAGCTTCAGGTTCGATTCTCAGGACTCGTAAATGAAACGTCGTCTCTGTAGAGTTCAACGGTTTCCTCTGTCTGCTCAGGTCCAGAAACACAAACTGCGCGAGGAGGCCGAGAGGCAGCTGGGCCTGAAGGAGGGGCAATGACCGCCGTCCAACCATCCACACGTCTGGTACCAGAAACAACCGTTGGATCGTCAGAACATCTGAACCGTCTGGAGAAGAAACCCAAACAGACGGGCTGGGACGGAGACGGGATCTGGAACTTCTGCTTGAAGCTTCTCGTTGCATCGGTTTCCTCAAATCGAGGGTTTACGCATCTAAAATGTAAATTTAGAGGCGAAATGTTTTAACTGTTAGGCTGAAACTTTGTTTACATCGAGTGCGTACCGGCGTTTCAGAACCATCAACAAATCTGGGGAACTACAGACATAAACTTTAAATGTTCACGTTGATGAACTTCAGGATCCGTTTGCAACGAGAAGCTTTAAACAGATAAAACACGTCGCGCTGCTACTTTAAACACTCGGTTTGTTCCAACTAAATGAACAAGCTTCTTTCAGGTCGACGCTTCGAACAGCAGCGAGTTATTTTTGTCGAGTCTGAATCTGAACGAGTTGAGCGGCTCAGTTTTTATCGTCTAAATTCAATCCTGATCAACGTCTCGGGTTATTAAAAGCAGAGCTTCCTGTCGGCGGCAGTTTGGATTCAAACCTTTAAAAATGGTTTCAGAGCCGCGGAGAATTTCCTGCGGGATCCGGAGTCGGGTCCAGACCTGAAGGACTCGGCCCAGAACCATCTTCCAAAACAAACCGGCTCTTAGAGGAACCGCCAGGTCTTCCAGCTTTTTTTTAGTTGAGCAGATTTTAAAGTTTGTATTAAAAGTTTTTTTTACAATGAGTTGAAAAATGACTTTTAATGTGTTTGGAGAATAAATGTTCAGTGCAACAATTCTGGGTTTGTTTTTCACAATTTACCGTATTTTTTGGATTATAAGGCTCATTAAGAAAATCTCAAAATATTTTGACAGATTTTTGAGCGTCGTGTTCCACATCAAATCGTTCGAGGTCGGTAAACACATCCAGGATTAATACGCAAGGCTCAGTTTTTAGAGAAAATTAAAGGATGAAGTCTGAAAAACACGGTAATCAAACCATGAAATTTCCTTTGAGCTCATTTCCTTAAACGTTTCAAACTGTTTTTGTAAATTACTGAAAACTGTCTCGACTAATGAAAGGAGCCGTTCAGCACGGCCAACAAAAGGTGAGCTGTGTCTGTTAGTAAAATATCTCAAGTCCCAGTGGATGGATCTTAATTGGAGTATAGATCTATAACGGGAGTAGCTGAGAGTCGTCATCACCTCGTCCTCTGAGCTCCAACAGATTCTGTTTGATTAAAACTATTTTTTAACACGAGTCAATCGTCTGAAACTCTGGAGTTAATGGAGATATGATTTATTCAAACATTTAGTTGAGCCTAAAACATTTGTTCATTTTTGTCTTCTCACACAAAAACCCTGAAACGTTTGAGGTTGTACTAAAACGTCGAGAACATGTTTTGGTCAAAAGAACCGACGAGTCTTTAAATTTCCAGCCGTGAGAAAAAGTTCCCTTGAAGAGAAAAACGACTTCGTCCTGATCAGCTCCACAGCTTCCAGTAAAAACTTCAAGCATGACGAGAGTTACCAGCTTGTGTCCTGAAGGTCCCAAGAATTTCTTAAATCGAAGTGATTTAAATTATGAATAAAGGTTGGATGAATTTAACCTGTATAAACTGTAAAGGTTGGATGA